TCGAGCCCAAGATTAGTCCTGGTTTATTCATTTTATGCTGAACTGCAGCCAAATATGCACTTTTTTTTTATCCTATGCACATGCAGATTTCTGAAAGTTTCGTTTTCAGCCGCTGCTGCTGTCAAACTACAGGTCTACAAGCGGTTTGAAGAGAAAAAGTGAGAAAAAGAGAAAAATATGGCTCCCAATAAGAAACATGCTCCCGTTGTTCCCTTCAAAGAGCCGGATCTAAGAGCCGCTTCGATCGCGACCGACCCATAACTCCTAGCTAGTAAAGAAACTACCGCTATTAGCCTTTAGCCGTAAAAACGTGCGCACCGCGGTAATTAATTATATGCATAAATGTGGATCATTCACACGTCTATTCACAGCTCATTTACATATCAATGCTGGTCCAATAACAAATATATGGCCAATAAAGTCAATTTACAATAGATCAATAGAAAACGGCCTGTTTATGTGTGAGAGCTACAGCAGCTAATCACTAACAAATGACCAAAACTAGCTTCGAAGTCGATGTATTTCCAACACTCACCGCTCACACAGGCTCCTCCTCACATCACAAGTCTGCACTAATAAATGTCCTTTTAATCCAGACTCAAACCGATTAAAAATAAAAAAGAAAATAATCTCAGTGTTGCGCACCGCAGCGGATGTAAACAAACACACGTGACTGAAGTGACTCTGGGGGTGTGTTCAGGGACAGTACGGACACACACACAAATTACACCGCCGATAAATACTGATGCGGAGCCACATATTAGGACATTTATCTGTCTGTAAATTGGATTAAATGAACATAATGTAGAGAGTCTAAGCTTTATAACGAGGTATAACATGCCCACGTGAAATATCGGCCCATATCAGCAAGTATATCGGCCGATAGCCAACATGTCTCCAGGTGCCCGTATCGGCCGATAATATCGGCCAGCTGATATATCGGTCGGGCTCTAGTTGTAAGTCCAGTGACGTCTTCTGTCTGCAGAGGCTCCACAGGCTCCTGGCCTCAGATTACCCAGAATGCTCTGAGGGTGAGGAGCTGAGCACAGAGGTTCTGAACATCACCCTGGACTTCCTGAAGAGGATGGACCAGGAGCATCTGGCCCAGCGTCTGCAGAACTGTACGACCAACCCAAACCCACGTACAACAGGTAAATCCTCCAGCTGAGACCAAACTATAGTGAAATTCTTCATTCACATTGAGCTCAACTCTAACATCCACCTGGAAGTTCACTCCAGTTATGGAAGAACATTTTCAATTAATTTGTCCCATAGACTTTAGAAAAATTCAAATATTAAGAAATGTTTTGTGGAGGGTAACCAGTTATGTGCTAAATAAAGTCTGGTTGTTTAAAGTCCAAAGGCACTTTTAAAATGCAAAATTGAGCTAAAAGTGCAGCACATTAGTGAAAAAAATCGTTCACTTTGGTATAAAAGCGTGAAATTTGGCACAGATACTCTCTATGAGCCTCTATTTTGGAAAAAGGTGTTGGCCACTCAAAAATTCTGTTCAAATGGTTATTATATAAATTATTCAAAAGTGATCCAACATTTGATATAAATACTCTCTACAGGACATGATCATAGAAAAAGACGCTTGTCACAAATTCAAGATGGTCATCATTTTTAAAGATGGTCACTGTTCCTGTAGATGAAATATTTCACTTTGTGGTCATATGGGTTTGTCAAAGCCTGATCTTGATCTCAGAAGCTCAGCAGGGCCGGACCTGGTCAGGACTTGGATGGGAGACACTGGGAAAATCAGGAGCCACAGGAGGGCGCCGGTGTTAAAAATCTGTTGATGTTGTGTCCTTAGGCAAGACACTTCACTCACATTGCCTAGTATGACAGTGGTGTGTTTGTGTGTGTGTGTGTGTGATGGTGGTGGTCAGAGGGACCGATGGTGCAGATTGGCAGCTGTGCTTCCGTCAGTCTGCCCCAGGGCAGCTGTGGCTACAATAGTAGCTTATGTGCTCCTGATGAGGTTCAATAACAACTGATAATATATTTTTTAATATTGTATTTTCTTTTCTTTTTTTTTTAAGTGCATTCATAAACAATTTTTGCAACAACAAATCAGTCTGAGTTCATCTACTTGCTGCCTGGACATGTTACCCACTACATTTCTAAAGTCCGTCCTCAACAGTTTTACTTTCACCACTCACTCACATAGTTAACATGTCACTTCAATCTGGAACATTCCCAAACGCGTTGAAAACTCCGGTCATTAAGCCTCTCCTAAAGAACAGTCTTGATGCCACAGTACTGAACAATTTCCGACCCATCTCAAATCTGCCGTTTTTTTGGCAAAGTCCTTGAAAAAGCTGTTTACCAACAGCTTACGAACTTTCTCCAAATGAACAACTCCTTTGATGTTTTCCAGTCAGGTTTTAGAGCCACCACAGCACTGAGACTGCTCTTATCAAGGTGACAAATGACATCCGCCTGAACACTGATGCAGGCAAAGTCTCAGTCTTGATCCTGTTAGATCTGAGTGCTGCTTTTGACACTGTCGATCATGGGATCCTCTTACAGAGACTAGAGGACTGGGTGGGCATCTCTGGTACTGTACTGAACTGGTTCAAGTCCTATCTAGAAGACAGGAAGTATTTTGTTGAAATTGGAAACTGTGTCTCAGATCACATGGCCCTGACCTGTGGGGTGCCTCAGGGGTCAATCCTGGGCCCCCTGTTGTTCAATCTCTACATGCTGCCCCCTACAGGCCAGTTAATAAGCAGCAATAACGTGTCCTACCACAATTATGCAGATGACACTCAGATCTACGTCTCTCTGGCAGCAGGAGACTATGGACCAGTGGACTCACTTGGTCACTGCATCCAACAGATCAGTGTGTGGATGCAAAACAACTTTCTCCAGCTAAACTCTGACAAGACTGAAGTCATAGTGTTTGGTCCACAGAAACAAAGGGACAGTGTCAGCATCACCTCCAGTCTCTCTCTCTAAAACCTTCAAATCAGGCAAGAAATCTAGGGGTAATAATGGACTCAGACTTGAACTTTAACAGCCACATCAAATCAATAACATCTGCAGCCTTTTACCATCTAAAAAACAGAGCAAAAATCAAAGGTTTACTGTCTAAATCAGACTTGGAGAAACTTATCCATGTATTTGTCTCCAGTAGGTTAGATACTGTAATGGTCTGCTCACTGGTCTCTCCAAACGAGCTGTGAGACAGCTGCAGAACATCCAGAACATCCAGAACATCCACAACATCCAGAACGCTGCATCTCGGGTCCTGACAAGAACTAGGAAGTACGAGCACATAAGTCCTGGTCTCAGGTCTCTGCACTGGCTTCCTGTGCCTCAGAGAATAGACTTTAAAGCAGCTCTGTTTGTACAAGTCTTCTCCATGGCCGAGCACCAAAGTCCATCTGTGACATGTTAGTGTCATATGAACATCTCACACTCTGAGGACCTCAGGGACCGGCCTCCTGCTGGTGCCCAGAGTCACGACTAGACAAGGGGAGTCAGAGTTTCAGGTTCATGCAGCTAAAACCTGGAACAGTCTGAACATGTGAGACAGACTCTTCTGTGACGCTGTTTAAATCCAGACTCAAAACATTTCTGTTTAACTGTGCAAATAACTGAAAGGTTTTCATTCCGCACTCTTCTCTCCAATTTATTTCTCTCTTTTTTAATTTTAATCTTCATGATTATTTATGTTCTGGTTTGTTTTTATTATGATTTTTATGTATTTCTTATTCTGTAAAGCACTTTGAATTACTTTGTGTACGAATTGTGCTGTACAAATAAACTTGCCTTGCCTTGCAAATCATTTCCAGCTTCATGCAGTCTAATTGAGGTGACTTGTGGGTTTAGAGGCCTGAATCATTGTTATACAGTTTGTTATTTCATTCCACAGATATGGACCGTTTTTCAGGCAAAAAGTGACCATTACAATAAATCTGAAATGAAAATGGCCTTAAAATAGGAATACTGAAATCACATTCCTTTTATGAAGTGAAGTAGAAAAATTGTCATTATAAGAATTTAAGACAAAAGGAAAGTGGACTACAACCTTTTCTCTTTTTGCTGGGGGCCATTTTGGATTTTATGTACACCGACCACTAGGGGGCGCACCTCAACTTGGATCCATGTATTTTTAAAAACCTTAGGCCCAAACCTAACACCCTGCCAAAAATCTAAATCTTTTCCAGAAGTGGACAATCCTTACGATATTTCACAAATTCCCTCACAACTACTGAGGGCCTCTGTTGTCTTCCTCAGGGACTGAAGTTGAAGTTCACTGTGAGAAACTGAAGAGGCATCTGCAGCAGAGATTCAGTCGTGTGTTAGAGGGCGTGGCTAAAGCAGGAGACTCCGCCCCCCTGACCCAGATCTACACAGAGCTCTACATCACAGAGGGCGGAGCCTCAGAGGTCAACCAGGAACATGAGGTCAGACACATGGAGACGGCGTCCAGGAGACCGGCCGCTCCAGAGACCATCACATGTGAAGAGCTCTTTAAACCCCGCCCACATTCACCACAGCCAATCAGATTTGTGCTGACGAAGGGCGTGGCCGGCGTGGGGAAACAGTGCTGACTCAGAAGTTCAGTCTGGACTGGGCTGAAGGCCGGGCCCACCAGGACCTCCAGCTGCTGTTCCCGTTCACTTTCAGAGAGCTCAATGTGCTCAGAGACACACAGTTCAGCCTGGTGGAGCTGCTGCACCACTTCTTCAGTCCATCCAAACATCTCTGCAGCTTCCAACAGCTCCAGGTGCTCTTCATCTTTGACGGTCTGGACGAGTGCAGACTTCCTCTGGACTTCGGCCGAACCCGGGTCCTGACCGACCCCACAGAGTCCACCTCAGTGCACGTGCTGCTGGTGAACCTCATCAGGGGGAGCCTGCTTCCCTCCGCTCTCCTCTGGATAACCACGCGCCCCGCCGCGGCCAATCAGATCCCTGCTGAGTGCGTCTCCATGGTGACAGAGGTGCGAGGGTTCACCGACCCGCAGAAGGAGCAGTACTTCAGGAAGAGGTTCAGAGACCAGGCCACAGCCGTCATCTCCCACATCAAGAGCGTCCGCAGCCTCCACATCATGAGCCACATGCCGATCTTCTGCTGGATCCTCTCCACAGTTCTACAGAAACTTCTGGAACAAACAGAAACCAGAGCTGCCCCGGACTCTCACACAGATGTACGTCCACTTCCTGGTGGTGCAGGCCAAAGTCCAGAACATCAAGTATCACCAGGGATCAGGGGAGGACCTTCACTGGACTCCAGAGACCAGGGAGATGGTGAAGTCTCTGGGAAAACTGGCCTTTGAGCAGCTGCAGAAAGGAAACCTGATCTTCTACGAGAGTGACCTGAGCGAGTGTGGGCTGGACGCTGCAGCGGCCTCAGTGTACTCCGGAGTGTTCACACAGGTCTTTAGAGAGGAGCCAGGCCTGTACCAGGACAAGGTCTACTGCTTCATCCATCTGAGTGTGCAGGAGTTTCTGGCTGCTCTTCACGTCCATCAGACCTTCTTCAGCTCTGGAAAGAACCTGCTGGAGACACCACACTCCTCTGAGAGTCCAGACCCCAAAGCCTTCTACCGCTCTGCTGTGGACCAGGCCTTACAGAGTCCAAACGGACACCTGGACCTGTTCCTGCGCTTCCTCCTGGGGCTGTCTCTGCCGACCAATCAGAGGCTGCTGCAGGGTCTGCTGACTCACACAGGAAGTGAACGGACCAATCAGGAGACAGTAAAGTACATCAAACAGAAGCTGGATGAAAAGGGTCTGTCTGCAGAGAGAAGTCTGAACCTGCTCCACTGTCTGAACGAGCTCAACGACCACAGTCTGGTGAAGCAGATGCAGTGGTACATGAGAGGAGGACGTTTCTCTGATAAACACATGTCTCCTGCTCTGTGGTCTGCTCTGTCCTTCGTCTTACTGTCCTCAGACTCAGACCTGGAGGAGTTTGACTTGAGGAAATACCAGGCCTCAGAGACAGCTCTCCTGGGTCTGCTGCCGGTGGTCAGAGCCTCCACCAAAGCCCTGTGAGTCCAGACTGTATTTAAACTCTTGTGTGGAGGTTCTAGTCTCTAATGTCCCTCTCTGTCCTCAGTCTTTGTGGCTGTGGTCTGTCTCCTCACAGCTGTGGTCCTCTGGCCTCAGTCCTCAGCTCCTCCAGTCTCACACATCTGGATCTCAGTCACAACGACCTCCAGGACTCAGGAGTGGAGCTGCTGTGTTCTGGACTGAAGAGCGCCCCCTGCAGACTGGAGACGCTCAGGTGAGACGCTCCCATGATGCACTCTGCCCCCTTGTGTCCACATGAGTGTAATGCTGTGTCTTTAGGCTGTCTGGATGTCTGGTCTCAGAGAGGGGCGGGGCTGCTCTGGCCTCAGCTCTGAGCTCCGCCCCCTCCCACCTCAGAGAGTTGGACCTGAGCTACAACCATCCAGGACCCTCAGCAGAGCTCCTGACCGCTCTACGGGACCAGCGCCCCCTGCTGTCTGTCAGGTGAGACCACACTGCCCCCTGCTGTCTGTCAGGTGAGACCACACTGCCCCCTGCTGTCTGTCAGGTGTGGGTCCTGGTTCAGTGGGTCTCTGGTCCATGGTGGGTCCAGATCCTGGTCTCTGGTCTGGTCTAATCTGGATTTGTGTGTTTCAGGTTGGATCCTGCTGGAGAGTGTTGGATGGTCCCAGGTCTCAGAAAATGTGAGTCCTCAGTCCAAAGCAGAAACAGAAAACTCAAGGGAAGTCCAGAGAAAATATTATTTTCTATTTTTATTTAGTTATAAATTATAAATTAACAACATATTGTAGGTCAAAGACAAAGTAGAACCATCTCTAGTTTCTTTAAATTTGACCTGTTGTATTTGTAGTTTTAATTCAGCTGTTTGTGTTTCAGACTCCTGTGAGTTCTCTCTGGACCCAAACACAATTCACACAATTCTCAAACTGTCTGAGGACAAACAGGAAGTCACCTGGATGAGAGAGGAGCAGCTGTATCCAGATCATGAGGACAGATTCACAGACCAAACTCAGGTCCTGAGCTCCACTGGCCTGAGGGGGCGCTGTTACTGGGAGGTGGAGTGGAGAGGGGGGGTCGATATAGCAGTGAGTTACAGAAGAATCAGACGGAGAGAAATAAGAGAGGAGAGTAAATTTGGAGAAAATGATCATTCATGGTGTCTACGGGTCATGAATGGACGATACACCGTCGTCCACAACAGCACAGCAAGATACTGTCCACGAGGACCTTCAGTAGTAGATGATGTGTCCGTTGGCAGAGTGGGTGTGTTCCTGGACACTGAGGTTTTATCTTTGTCCTTCTATGATGTCCACTCTGATGGAGAACTGATCCATCTCTACACCTTCACTTCCTCTTTCACTGAGCCTCTGTTCCCTGGGTTTGGGCTGTGGTGGGATAAGAGTTCAGTGTCTGTGGTGAAAGTGAAAACACAGTGACATAAAAGAAGGACTCTGTGTAACTTTATGACTTTGTGAAGTGTGTGTGGTGGGGATGGGGCTGAGCAGTGCAGAGTTTTGTAAATGTCGACAACTGTTTGAGATTTTAAGTTTATCATGTAAACAATTATAATTCATCACATTCATATCGTGTTTTTGGACTTTTAACTGCGGGAAAAATTTAAAAAGAAAAGATAAATAAAAAACATGTTGCATTCATCTTTCCATGGGCAGGGGGGTGGTGAAGGTAACTGGAGGCATGTTTTGTCTGGAACTCCGTTATTCAGGTCAGACTTTAATCTGATCTTTGTTTTAACACAATCTGAGCAGAGCTACAACAGGTGATCTGATTTTTTTTACTGCTAAACTTGTCCCTCTCAAATAACATCACAGTCACACGCTCATCAGCATCAGCTGACCGTTTTTCACTCAGTCACTCTCACCTTTACCTTTGGCTTTTTTCAGACCATCGAAAAATGTAGAACTTAGAAGCCAGGGTGTTGGTTTGCATTGTCCAAAGTTCTTCTTCACTTACCTTCTGCATTCAGAGCGTCCTAATTATTTCACAACTTCACTGTCACTGTGAAGCTAACAACAACTAGTATGCTAACACCGCACTTCATGACAATATAACGCTTTAGCTGCAATGACACAACTCACTCTGTCTTATTTTCACCTCAAGAGAGCTGCTTATACAATACTAGTATATCTGCACTTGGGCAAGACACATTTTACTCAAACAGACTCTAGAGGGAGGGGTCTGGGTACAGAGGGAGGGGTCTGGGTACAGAGGGAGGAGTCTGGGTACAGAGGGAGGGGTCTGGGTACAGGGGGAGGAGTCTGGGTACAGAGGGAGGGATCTGGGTACAGAGGGAGGGGTCTGGGTACAGAGGGAGGGGTCTGGGAGGGGGAGGGTCTGGGTACAGAGGGAGGAGTCTGGGTACAGAGGGAGGAGTCTGGGTACAGAGGGAGGGGTCTGGGTACAGGGGGAGGGGTCTGGGTACAGGGGGAGGAGTCTGGGTACAGAGGGAGGGGTCTGGGTACAGGGGGAGGAGTCTGGGTACAGAGGGAGGGATCTGGGTACAGAGGGAGGGTCTGGGTACAGGGGGAGGAGTCTGGGTACAGAGGGAGGGGTCTGGGTACAGAGGGAGGAGTCTGGGTACAGAGGGAGGGTCTGGGTACAGAGGGAGAGGTCTGGGTACAGAGGGAGGGGCCTGGTTATTGGAGCTTTTCAGATTCTAGACTGTGATGATGTCAAACTTGAAATATTAAGAGAATTTGAGCCACTCATTTATCCTGAAACTAATCCGTGTATCACCGTATCGGAAACGATCTCCATCCACACACGTCGTGTCTGTGTCCACAATCCTTCCATATCCACACAGCTTTGTTTATTTGTTTGTTTACTTTTTACAGAAATGAAACTTAAACCACATGACTCATTTGCATAAACTAAGTGCTCGAAAAACGTCTCTCTCTTTGTGCGCTGATGTGGTTCAGCTTCTGTCGGACTAAAGGACACAACTCAGTGGAATATGAGTGTTCTTTCTGTGACAGAGGATGTGCTGCTGATGCTGAGTCTGTTCTGTGTTTCTGTCGTGTTGGAGATGGTTTATGTTAAACTTTTCAGAGATTATACATCTGCAGGTCATACACACAGACACGTTTATATGAATGGACAGATATTCTCGCCTCTTTAGTGTTTTATTGGTGAATTACTTCGCGGCGCACAGACCTACATCAGAGTATCAGTGTTTTCAGGCGTCCTCGCGGTGCTGGATCAGATCTGTACGAACATGAATTCATGGGAGCTGGAGGCACCAGATCATTCCGTCTCTGGAGCCGTTTTCAGTCGGATTAGTGTGAACGAACACTGCACCCACAACCAAAACCACTCAAATACGAACTAGTGTGGACGGGGCCTGAGTGCGTTCACATGCACATCAGTGTCCCAGTTATTATCCATATCCAGGTTATGTCAGTATTCAGGATCTGTTGTTTACATGTGTGTGGAGAAACCAGGATTCTCATGTCCCTGTGCACATGATCAAATGGAGTGTCTCGGTTTCTTAACATAATCTTATACATGCATAAGCTCAAAAATTATATTTTTAATAAACCAAGAAAAATACAAACAACCATGAGATTATAATCCACATTTGTTTACATTTTACAGAAACTAAACTTGAAACCACATGACTCATTTGCATAAACAATAAGCTTTAACAGCTTTTTCCTTGTGTCGCTGATGTGGTTCAGCTTCTGTCGGACTCAAGGACACGACTCAGTGGAATATGAGTGTTCTTCCTGTGACAGAGGATGTGCTGCTGATGCTGAGTCTGTTCTGTGTATCGCTTTGGAGATGTTTCATGTTAAACTTTTCAGAGATCACACATGTGGTGGTCGTACGTGTGCAGCTCTTCATTTCACTCATGTACAGTCACTTTTTTGACGTCAGCTCCGTTGTGATGAAAAGACTGAAAGGTGTAAATAATTCTCATCAGACTCGTGCTGTAGTCGACCATGATGCTTGTTGTGGTCGTTTTCTGGGAGTTGTAGTTCTGACTGTAGTTCCTGTCGTTGGTTTGGAGGATCCGGATCCACCTAAAGCTTCTCTTCAGACTTGCTGCAGACGTGTTTGTTTGTGTTTTGGACGCATGCGCACTCAACTTTATGTTGCAGTGTTCGGGATACTGCGTACACATGCCACAGTGTCCCAGTCAGAATATCCCCACTGATCTTGATATTAAATCAGATTAAATTTGTGGCTCACACCAACATGGACGCTTGGGCAACAAGTCCAAATGTTTGACTCTTTTATTTGAGTAAATGTGTTCTATAACTGATCATTGTTCACAAAAATAGAAATATGAAAAATGTGAATGTGAAAAGTGTGAGTTTGTGCTGTAAATCAGACTTATGTGGTTAAAGGTTTGTAAGGAACAGAGGACAAGTATTTTATTGTCTGTGATCTGAATGTAATAAACACTGATAAAGACTCAAATGTCTCCACCTTCAGAGAGAGGAGGGAGGAAGCAGGAGGGAGGAGTTAGGAAGCAGGAGGGAGGAGTTAGGAAGCAGGAAGGAGAAGGTAAGAAACAGGAGGGAGGAGTTAGGAGGCAGGAGGGAGGAGTTAGGAAGCAGGAGGGAGGAGTTAGGAAGCAGGAGGGAGGAGGTAGGAAGCAGGAGGTAGGAAGCAGGAGGGAGGTTCTTGTCAAAGTCAAACCTGCATCAGGACTCGGCACTACTCGGTGAGTCTCTCTGTTCTGTTTTTTATCATAAAAAACTATAAACTCATGCAGAACTCGACAAAGGGTAAGTCAGGTCTGAACTAGGACTGAACCAGGTCTAAGTCATTTCTGTACTGTAGACTGACCTCTATGACTGATCTGATCGAGTTACAGAAATAATGAACATCTTTACCTTTTAAAATTCATTCAGACTGATCTAATTTGAAATATTTTTGCTTTTAACAGAATTGAATTTTCCTCTTAAATTGAACTACCTGAGTTTAGGCGGGACTGTCTCACCTTAAACTACCACAGGTAACTTATAAAGGTTGTGGCAAAATTAATGCAAAGACTGAATCACCTTGAAACTACATAAAGTGATTTGATTAAAGTTAATACAAAGATAAAAAAAGAGCATGCTTGTGTTGCAATTTTGTTATTGAATCATTTTTCGGTAAGTTCAGTTTTTTCCTTGTAATGGCTGAAGTATTAAACTTTATAGTTTGAGCTGGACTTTGCTCTGTGTTTTGTTATCAGATCTGATCTGGGGTGTGTCTATGACTTGGTGATTTACAGAAATGTTTAATCACATATCAGGACACAAAACAACACTCTTGGTAGAATTTGAATTTCAGATGTCGTGCAGAGGCTTATATTACTCTTTTTGAAAGAAATCTCCAAATGTTTGATCCACAAATGTTGAACATTCTTATTATTTAACGGATCAGTTTTATATAGTGCTTTCTTGGACACTCTAAGATGCTTTACAGCACTTTACAGTGCATCATTCATTCACTCCATACTCAGTGGCTGCCCTGGGACAGAGTGCCTGTCAGCACACCATCAGTCACACACACACCACTTTCATACCAAGCAATGTGGGTGAAGTTCCTTGCCTAAGGACACAAAGACAGTTTTTGCCACTGGCGCCAAGTAATAACCAGGCCCAGTCCTGTTTAGCGTCTGAGGTCTAACGAGATCAGACTTTGACTAGGTTATTTGTTTGGGATCGGCTCCACAAACATGTCATATTAATCTTATGTCCTTTAGTTAAACACAGGCCTCAGTGTGTTCAGAGGAGTGTGTGGTTTTAAGGTGGAGGTGAACCGCAGACTGTGGACCAGAGCTGTTCTCTCTACAGAACTGATACTTCCTCTTGTGTCGAGGCTGTTTGTTTCTCTGTATATTGTTCACTGCATGTGATGGGGATCTATTCCTGAGTAATAATGGTGGTGTAGTGAAAAGAATCTTTCTGCTGATATAATTTGAATAACGTTCCCAAAAAGTTTGAAAGATGCTATACAAGACAAGTGAAAAAAGGACTTTACAGTATTTACAAATGACAGCAGAAATATGCGTCAATGTTATCAGGTTGTTTTTTCAGACCTAGTCTTTTGTTTTCATACCTGACAGTTTCGACTGCTCACTAGCGTCTTCCTCAGAGTCACGTGATGTTGCTGTGACGTGTCTGGTCAGCTGATTTAAACAGGTTCCTCAGGACAGGATCCCAGGTGTGTGAGAGTAAAAAAGCCCCCTTGTCCCGGTTTATCAGGACAAGGGGGCTTTTTATTGGGACAGAGGAAATCAAACATCGCCGCTGGATTAAAGAGGCAATCGAAATACGGAAACGTGCCCACAGGACTGTAAACCGGGACGAGGGGGCTTTTTTACTCTCAAACACCTGGGAAACTGTCCTGAGGAAGTGGGATCAGCTGAGCCACACGACACAGCAACATCACTTGACCACTTTGAGGAAGAGCGCTAGTGAGCAGTCAAAACTGTCAGGTATGAAAATAAACTCTTGGTCTGAAAAAAGAACCTAATAACATAAAATATCGGAAGACCAAATGAATCTCATTGGACTAATATGCTTCATAAATCATAGGCTCATATTGCTACCTCCTCTGTAACATGTCCTTGCCCAGACTGACTGAGGGAGAGATTGTGGCCCTCTTTATCC